GACATAAAATAAGATGTAATAATAGCATTTCCAGGTTATTCCCGTCTCCGGTTCAGACGAAGCAGTATAGAAATTGCTTTTCTTTGATAAATGTTCTTCAAGTCAGACGTCTGTGAAATCCACAAAGCGTTTGTATTGAGTGAGTTTATTGCCGGCGGAACTGGCACACCCGTTAACGCAATTCCTACAGCAGTAATTCGCCTCAGAGGGAAGTAGGCCAAAGAGAGCCAAGGTTGAAAAGTCTAAAAACTAATTCGCGACGCTACCAAAAAAAAGGTTATAGCATAAGACAGCTGATATGAAGATTATAATACAGAGTTTCTCCTTACACAAAATAACACTTTGAATTTAGCTTTGCATTGCGTGCAGTTAGGGATTTAAAGGACTTCTTTAAATAGTCTGCTTAACAAGTCTGCATTGGGATTCTCGCGGTTATGTATGACATCTTGCTGAGTGGAGCTCGGAGTTAGATAAGCTCGCCATTACAACACTATACGCTCATACCTCACTACACGGTAGATTACAAAATAATTGCATAGCCATGTATGTTGATTTGATCTGGTTTTCGTCGCTAAATGTAACTACCTAACGAATAATTTGCCAAAGTACTTGGCCATGACAGACATTTTCAAAATCTTATTATTAACCCTGTCGCCATCGTCATAGATACCGGAAATTATTATAGACCCATGGGGCTAAACTGCCATAGGGCAAATTTCGAATTGTCAGATATGACTCATTCTCATTGGCTGTGACGTGTACCTAAGCCATCTGTCGTTGCTAAGGACTGTCTCTTATGCTTGTAGAAAAAAAAATCACGAGAGATTCTGGACTGTCCGTACAAGCTGTATCGAGCTCTCTTAATAGCAAGAGATATGTACGCGGTATATTTTGGGTTGGTGGCATTCTTATCTGCTTTTGGGCTGCGGTTTGTAGGTAAGTTCTGTAGTATCTATCATTGATAAGATGCCCGGTGCATGAAACTAGCATAGTGAACCTACTTCTGAAATTAACATGTTATGCAACAGTGTTCATCCCGTTTTTTTAATCTGGACAACAGCTGAACAGCCAGTTAATAAGTCATTTGTGATCAACAAAATCAGTTTCGTTAGAGAAAAACTACTATACCACCTTGTTTATGTTGTATGAAATCATTTGAGGTCGTCACGGAAAATATTGTCGGCTAGGACGGGTGACCGATGTGTTCGGGGGTGCTTCCGTGAGCTATGGTAGTACTCTTTAGGCGAGGTCGCGATTTGGCGTTGTAAATCTCAGGCATGAGTACAAGATTCGTGCTTTGTGCCACCCCTGGCTAAATAATGTGGAACAACTCCCCCGGAAATTAGCTTTATGCATCACGCACAGATCGCCTTTAATAGAGAATTTAGGATTTTTTTTTTAATCGAGTACCTGTTTCTGGAACTGCAATGAAATTTTAATTCATAAATAGGGTTGTTTTGTTTCTGTGGGTAGAAAAGGTTCACAGCTAGTGTTTAGAAAACTTGTTATGTTCTATATGTTCCATGAAAACCAGACAGGTCAGGCGATTGCATGATTTAACCATAATCTAATTAGAGGATTCAGCTTATCCTTCACCAAATTAGCAAGGCCTAGCTTTTCAATTCTCTTTTCAGCATTTTGCCATTACAATATTTTGTTTTGTCGGCATTTCGACTGCGTTGCTATTTCGAATGTTTTTTTTTTCAAGCTCATTGAAAGTAGTTTTAATGCCTTTTTCTCTCATTTGCATTTTCCTTGTCTGAAAGTGCTGGTCACTAGACACCCATTTGTCTGTTCTAAATGCTATAAATGCCTGGATTTCCTGTCATAATCACTCTTATTGGCTGTATTTTGACTCGGCTCGCAGTCTTTCCCTGGCAGAAGATTCGCAAAATTATATTTCAGTTTTATAACGTGAAGATATGTCCGCTCTGTATATAATATGTTAAGTCCAATGCTGTATTCTGAAAATTTTGCAAATATAACTTCAAATTGAAGCATTCTATGTAAACCTAAAATGGCATCCTTGCTCCTGCTAACGACGTATTTGTCTCTTTAGAATTAGTTGAGAGTATTGTTGTTAAAAGCCATATTGTTCTACTAAAAGCGTGACTTAACAAAAATGTGCGACATAATCTTTCCAGTGAATGTAAGGAGTACATAACCTTAGTTGGAAAAAGGAGGAACGAAGGCCATTTAATGCCGACAGTGTTGTTATTGCGTGCAGACGATTGTAAGTCGATAAGCATTGATACTTAATAAAACCTACTCCGGTTCAACCGAGCAAGTTCAAAAACTCCTTACTTACACACAGTTTGTTTTTAGAGATTTCCTTCTTAGCTGGCCTTAAGGAAAACCTCTTGGAATCACTGGAGGCATTTAGTCACAAGGGCAAGACGAGATACACCGATAGAAGAACGCTCTAGCTAAATACAAAAAAAAAAAAAATTGATATCCTCATGCAAAGAGTTTCCTTTAAATTGAATCCATTCGATCCCGGCTAGCGACTCGCGTTGAAAGGCTGTCTATGAATGCGTTGTACTTTGTACTTCGGCTTTTGCTCTCTGAGAATTTTATCCCATTGTCTAGTCATTTCCATAACTCAGGTTTCAAATATAAGTGTAAAAGGTGAATGACTTAGCTTGGCTTAATTCCTTTTCCCATGCTTTGAAATATGGCAATGTACACGATAAGTGTATGTGCGAGGCTCGTCTCCGAATTAAGCGGTCCAGGTTCGAGCCGGCCTTGCCAGTGATATTGCGTTTTGTTCTTGGGCAACACACTTTACTCTCATACACAGTGCCTCTCTCCGAACAAGTGTATAAATGGGTACCGGCGAACTTAATGCTGGGGGTAACCCTGTGATGGAGTAGTATCCCATCCAGGGGGGAGTAGAAATACTCCTAGTCGCTTCATGCCACAGAAACCGGGTTAAGCTCCAGCCTGACTCTTATGCAGACTTTACACGATAAGTATATGTCAGGAAAAATACAATTCCCGCGTTTGTAATTAGCAGAAATATACCTGGATATGCTTAGCACCTTTTCATCATTTCATGGCACAGTCAGTGTGATTACAGTTTAAAGGCAAGTATTTTTATCCTAAGTTAGAACTATACATACAAACTACGGAAAAAGCTGTAACAGACTGAAAGTGGCAAACAAACAAACAACAACAGCAAATAACAGAAAAGCAACAACAACAACAACAAAATGGATACCGGTTCTGAACAACTGCATGCCAGGTGCAATGAATTAACCTCTGGAATACAAAGAACTGCTCTGGCATGTAACCGAGAAAATACTAAAAGCACCTCTCTCTCTCTTTCTCTCTCTCTCATTATCTCTCTCTCTCTAGAGAGAATACCAAATTTGCTTAATAAAATACTGTTTGAACGTATAAATGCCCGAATGTACATAGGGAACAACGCCTGCATTTAATTGATAGGCTCGTAATTCCATACTGCTCTTGAATTAGGTAGGTGATTTAGGTACACTAAGAACCGCGTCTATCTCACGCCCCTATCGGAACAAGGTGATCAATTCATATTCATGATTAACTTTGAAGGAAACGCTTTTATAAAGAAACATCGCATAGTTTGGAAATGTAGGAAATAGTTTCAGCAAACCAAGGTCAACAAATTTTTTAATACGAACTGTACTTTATCGAAATGTACGCGGGGCCTCGTGACCATGCATTCAAGTGTTCACATCGCGTGTTGAGCCCGGCACGTTAACGTTCTCTGTAGACTTGTTCTTCTTCATGTTTTTCGTAAACCTAACACAAACGTAAAATGCTGCGGTGTTATTATTGATCATAACCGTAAACCGCCTTACATGTACCTCTAACTCGTTACGTAAGAATCGTTTTAAGTAATATAGGTTGGTGCGTGCAAGCGGAAAATAGACTGCTGACTGACATGTAAACTGACTCTGTTTTGTGAGTCGGGTTGAAGGTCATATTTGCAAAGTTTAATTAAGTAAATCAGCATTTGCCCAAGTATAGAAGAGTTTGTTTTCCTTAAGGATTAGTCGCTGTAGAGATTAAGAGGGACTTAGGGGTAAATTTACGTCATATCATTCGTTCGTACTTTGAAGTGCTGTTCCTCGTTTGTCTCTTGTATAGAGACTCGTCATGGCAACAAGTCTTATTTGGAAAGAAATGAGTGGAATGTTTGTGGAGAAAATGAGGAAGAGATAGGAATTGGATATTTGAAAATAATTGACGAAAATGACATTAGGTTTTTGAATGTGGACATCCAAATT